TTGGGGTGGGGGTCACAACAGGGGCGTCTGGGTGCTGGGGAAGTGGGGCTTGGTGAGGTGGGGGTCTGGGTGCAGCTAGTTGGGGGTCAGGGGCATGGGGGTTTGGATGTAGGGGCTCAGGGTGGTGGGGTTCATCATGGTTGGGGTTTGAGTGCAGGGAGCTCAGTGGGGGGTGGCCTAGGTGCAGAGGTGGGGGTCCGGAAGCAGGGAGTCTGGGTGCAGGGGCTCCAGATGCAGGGGTTGAGGGTCAGTGGGGTGGGGTTTGGGTATGGAGGACTAGGAGGGTTCTGGGCGTACAGGGGGAGGCTTGGCAGGGGTGTCTGGGTATGGGAGGTCCGGATGCACAGGGATTGGTTGGATGGGGGAGCAGCTCCCCGTACAGTGACCCTTCTCCCCCCCTGCTGAGGAGTGATGGGGGTCAGAAGCAGGGGAAGGTGCTGAGCTGCCTGCAGCTGCGGGAGGTTTCTGGGGGTGGATCTAACACACCCCCAGCCACTCCTTGCAGAGGAGTCCCGTCCTCTCCTGCCTCCTGCCCAGCCAGGACTAGCAACTGATCCCAGCTCTGGGGAGAAGCCACTGGCTGGGGTGTCCCCAGCCCTGCAGTGATTTACCTCTCTGCCAGCTGCTCCGGTGCCTGAAACAATGTACCTGCGCAGCTAGGGAGTGGGGCATGACTGCTCTTGCAGCTTCCCTGTCAGAAAGTCATTTTTCTGTGGGGAAGCAAAGTAATCTGCAGGGGACATGACTCTGCGCAGAATTCCCCCAGGAGTAATGTTCAGGTTACTCCCAGTCCCAAAGGGCCAGTCACTTACTCCAGGTCAACTGTATTTCGATCTCAAACCAAAGACAAAGCTTGTAACCAATCCTGTAACACACTAACTGAAGGTTTATTAACGAGGAAAAAGATATTTACAAAGTTAAAGACGGTAAATATACACACACAAATGAGGTACAATCTTCAATTCAAAAGATAACAGAAGCTCATATAAGAAACAAGCTTTTATGTTTTTTAGGGCTAACCCAAGCCAAGTGGCATGGGGATCTCCTTCTTGTGTTTAGAAATCTTTGCCTCTCAGAATCCAGACAGCATAAAGATACCAATTTCTCCTTAACAGGCATTTTTATTCCTTTCCCCCAGCATTCCAACTGTGATGGGATGAGGGCTTGGGTACCTACCCTCTTCAGGGGTGCAGGCAAAGTGATCAAAGTCTTTTGTCCACAATGGCTTGTCTGATGTCTGTAGACCTTTGTTTGTTGGGGAGATGGTAACAGCTTTTGTGGTAAACTAGTATTTCACCTTTGGTAATGCTTCTCCCCTGACTGTGTGGGATTGACAGTCTTAGCAAATACTTTTATAGTGACAGAGCAAACATTTAAACATTACCTTATAACATGGGACTCAGATATAATAAGTAGGATTAATACATGCAGCATCCTATAAGCATTCCATAAAGTCTAACACATCCTAATAACCCTAATATCTATTTAAACGACACTAACATACACTTAAGCCAGATTGGTTTCCAGCTATGCATTTGTCATTGTTCAGTAAGGCCTTGGCATGAGCTGGCAACTTGTCTGCCAGCGTCAAAGATACAAATTCTGGTTCTCCTACAGCTCTGAATGCGTTCCTTCCCCCGCTTCTGTCCTAAGGTGACTGAGTCCCCTCCCACACACCCAGTGTGAACCCCCCTGATGAGTGCACCCCCCCAGGTGAGTGCACCCACAGCTAAGGGGGTTCTGCACACACAACCCAAGGTGA